TAGACAACACTATAGTCTCGAGTATAGACTATAATATAGTCCAGACTATAGTCCCGAGTACAGACAATACTATAGTTCCGCCTATAGAAAATATTATAGTCCCGTCTATAGATTAGACTACAGTCCAGGCTATAGACAAGACTATAGTCCCAACTATAGACAAGACTATAGTCCCAACTATAGACAAGACTATAGTCCCTACTATAGACAAGACTATAGTCCCGACTATAGACAAGACTATAGTCCCGACTATAGACAAGACTATAGTCTCGACTATAGACAAGACTATAATCCTTACTATAGACAAGACTATAATCCTTACTATAGACTAGACTATAGTCCTAACTATAGGTAAAACTATAGTCCCGAGTACAGACAATACTATAGTCACGACTATAGATAAAACTAGAGTCCTGACTATAGACAAGACTATAGTCCCGACTATAGACAAGACTATAGTCCCGACTATAGACAAGACTATAGTCCCGAATATAGGCAAGACTATAGTCCCGACTATAGACAAGACTATATTCCCGAGTATAGACAAAATTATAGTCCTAATTATAGGCAAGACTATAGTCCCGAGTACAGACAATACTATAGTCCCGCCTATAGACAAGATTATAGTCTTGACTATAGACTATACTACAGTTCAGACTATAGTCCCAACTATAGACAAGACTATAGTCTCGTCTATAGACAAGACTATAGTCCCGACTATAGAAAAGGCTTTAGTCTCGTCTATAGACAAGACTTTCGTCCCGACTATAGACAAAATTATAGTCCTGACTATAGGCTAGTCTACAGTCTAGACTGTTGACTAGGCTATAGTCCATTCACAAAACAAGACTATTGACTAGGCTATAGTCCTGACAAAGGACTAGACTATAGTACAGTCTATAGACTATAGTTAAGACTGTAGACTTCACTATAGTCAAGACTGTAGACTAGGCTATAGTTTAGACTTAGGATACACTATAGTACAGATTACTGTAAGGAATATAGCCTATAGCTAGTCTATGCTAGTCTGGTCTATAGTCTGGACTATATATAGTCCCAAGTTTAGTCTTAAGTTTGGTCTATATTTTACTTTATAACTTTATATGTATAAGTCTAATCATTATTTTATATGAAATTGTTTTTGCATTTTACTTATGATGATGTTAATTGCTCCAAAGTAATAAATAATACAAACAAATAAATCCAAGGCACTCCTATTGACGCAAACATATTTATAATTATTAAAATTGTTTTAACTAACACTCCCACTAAAAATTTGCAAAATTCTAGATAAAAGTGTTATATTTAACTAAAATTTTATATATAACTGACAATAATGATATATTAACAAACGATATTGGTATGTTAGGCCCATTAGCTTTTCGAAATAGTAACTTTAAAGCGATAAAATCAGTGTTTAAATAGAATAGGTTTGTTTATTCCTCTTAGGAGTACCTTGAAATGTTACAAACTCCTTTTAATTTTTTGGATCAGTCTATTTTAGTATGTTTTTACATTCGTAAAACTATGACGCAATTGACTTTATAAATCCCTTCTACTCTTAAGTACATTCCAAACAAGAAAAAAATCAAAAAAAAAAAGGCAACAAACGGCATAATAATTGTACGTGCCTGAACAAGCAGAAAATTTATACAATTCTATAGAACATACGAATAAATGGTCCCGGTCATATACAATCATACACTCGAGTACTTGAACATGCTCATGCTTGTTTGATTTTATATTGTGTATGGTTATGGCTGATGGTAAGGCAAATAAAAAACAAAACAACAAAAAAACATGGTAATGATATTACAATTTCACTTTTATAGCGCCGCTCTAATCAAAAAAAAAAAAAAAATCAAAAAAAAACAACATTCAAGTTGATGTTTTTTTCCCGTTTGTGCGACATTCAGTCAATTGGTGGTTAGTCAGTCATTTGCGAAACAAACGTCAGAATCTTTGATATTCAACTATATGCTAATTGGGTTAAGAATGCTTTGCCAATGAAACGAAATGTAATGAATTGGTAACTGTTATTGCGATAAGATTAGAAATAGAATTGATTTAGACAGCAGCGAACAAGTAGAAAATTACAATTATCGTGCGTACGTTCATATCAGCTGTATAGAGGGTATAATAATTACAAGTGAATTTCAAGAGTTTCTATATTGAAGGAAAATTTAAAATTTTTTCTATAAAAAGAGAAATGTTAGAATATTTATTTTGCAATGAACATTTTCTTAAATTTTATTTGTTAAATTAGAACTTTTCGAGATATTTTTTATAAAGAGAAATTTTGGAAATTAAAAAAAATGATTTTTTTAAATATTTTATATTTAAAAGATAATTTTTTGAAAAGTTTCTATATGAATGAGAATTTTTTGAAAAATATTTTAAAAATTAGATTTTTTTAAAGAGATTTTTGAAAATTCAAATCAATTTTAGAAATTATTCTATAAAAAATATAAATTTTAGAAATTTTTTTTTATAAAATTGAGAACATTTTTTATAAATAGAATTTCGAAGTTTCCAAAAATGAATGAATGAAATAAAAAAGAGTAATTTTTGAGAGAGGCTTTCGAAAATTTTCTATAAAATAGAGAAATTTTATAAAATTTTCTAAAAAAAATTAACCTTTTCAAAAACTTTCAGAAAAATATAGAAAATTTTCTTTTAAAAAGATGAATTTTCTAAAAAATTTTCTAAAAAAAGAAAAAAATATGGAAATTTCTCTAAAAAAGAAAGAAAAATTATTGGAAATTTTCTAAAAAACAAGAGAAATTATCGAAAATTTTCTATAAAAAAAGTAACTATCGAAAGTTTCTATAAAAAACAGTATTTTATAGAAAATATATATAAAAATGGAAATTTATGGAACATTTTCTATAAAATATAAATTTATGGAATATTTTCTAAAAATAAAGAAATTATCGAAAGTTTCTATAAAAAATAGTATTTTATCGAACATTTTCTATAAAAAAGAAAAATTTATCGAAAATTTTCTATAAAAAAGAGACATTTTCGAAAACTTTTTATAAAAAGAATAAATTTTTTAATAAAAGTATAATTTTTCAAATATTTTCTATAAAAAGACATTTTTAAAAATTTTTTGAAAATTTTAAAATGTTCTACAAAAAGGGAAATTTTCTAATACTTTTCAAAAATTTTCTAATCTTTATAAAAAAGAGAAATTTATTGAAAATTTTCTATAAAAATATAAATTTATCAAAAATTTTCTATAAAAGAGAAATTATCGAAAATTTTCTAAAAATTAATTATCGAAAGTTTCTATAAAAAATAGTATTTTATCGAAAATTTTATTTCTATAAAAATAAATAAATTTTCAGTAAGTCTTTATAAATAAGAGAAATTTATTGAAAAATTTCTTTATCGAACATTTTTATAAAAAAGAGAAATTTATCGAAAATTTTCTATAAAAAGAGACATTTTCGAAAACTTTTTATAAAAAGAATAACTTTTTTAATAAAAGTCAAATTTTTGAAAATTTTCTATAAAAAGGGAATTTTTCAAAAATGTTCTAATAAATGGAATTTTTTGAAAATATTCTATAAAAATAAATAAATTTTCAGTAAGTCTTTAAAAATAAGAGAAATTTATTGAAAAATTTCTTCAAAATATAAATTTATCGAAAATGTTCTATAAAAATATAAATTTATCGAAAATTTTCTATTAAAAAGAGAATTTTATCGAAAAATTTCTATAAAAAAGAGAATTTTATCTTTTTTTTTATAAATTTTTTAAAAGATAATTTTTCAAAAATTTTCTATAAGAAAAGAAATTTTCTATAAAAAAGATATTTTCGAAAATTTTCTATAAAAAAAGATTAATTTATATAAAACAGATAAATGTTCAAAACTATTCTATAAAAAAGACCAATTTTCAAAACTTTCTATAAAACAGAGAAATTGTAGAAAATTTTTTAATAAAAAAAATTTTGAAAACTTTCTATAAAAAAGAGAAATTTTCAAAAATTTTCTATAAAAAAATTAAATATTTTCTATAAAAAAAAGTGAAAATTTCGAAAATTTTCTATAAAAAAAGCAAAAAGAAAGAAATTTTTTCCATAAAAAGAAAACATTTGTAAAATTTTCTATAAATGGGATGATTCTATTTGAAAATTTTTAAAATGACAAATTTTGAAAATTTTTCGTTAGTTTTCAGAAATTTTTGTTGAAAATTTTCTAAAAAAAAAAATTAAGTTTCTATCAAAAGTGAATTAGTTTGAAATTAAAAATATTAAAAAATGTCTATAACAAGAAGAAATTTCTAATAAAATTTTATTCTAAAATTTAATTATTGATCTGTTGTACAACATGTATTAAATAAAAAATAAAATAAAAGCTATAACATAAAACTGTTTCAATGCAGGAAAATGATAAAAACAATTTTAATAGTTTTTAATTCCGCGACATTAAAAAAAGAATTCATATAAATTTTATTACAAAACTCGTATATTCGACAATTTTTCTTTACAGCTTTTTCGCATTTTTATAACCATTTCCACTTTCCGCTGTTGCTTCTTTTCAATTTACGTCATACAAAAGAATTAAAAATGAACGCACAGCAACAATAATTTAATGATGTTGGAAATTTAACAAAAAAAAAAAAAATAAAAAAATAAATAAAAAAAAACGTAAGAATTTTTCAACAATTTAAATGAAATAGCTGAACATGCAAATAATAAGAGAAAACATTTATCATACATATTAATGTACATATGTATGTGTGTATGTTTTGCATATGTTCATGTGTGTATGTCTGGCTGAAATCTGTTTGAAAGTAAAAGTAATTTATTTAATTTAAATGTCAAACATTCAAACAAACACAGGCGAATGTAAATTTGGCAAATTTTCCTTGAACACTCACAAGAAAATATTAATAACAATAAGGGCTTGTTTTTACAATATTAGTTAATCCTAGTTAAACTTTAGTTAAAATTTTTTCTAATCCTTTATTTTTTTAATACTCATTTTCAGGAACAAGTTAAACTTGATGCCACCAAACAGGTTACCAGCCCTGACGATTGTGAAGATCTCAGTCCAATGCCACAAACACATGCCCCACCAGTTAGACGACGTGGCGGCATTTCAGCCGAACCCGTGACTGAAGAGGACGCAACCAGCTATGTGAAAAAAGTCGTACCCAAAGATTATAAAACAATGGCTGCTCTCTCGAAAGCCATCGCCAAAAATGTATTATTCTCACATTTGGATGAAAACGAACGTTCCGATATATTCGATGCCATGTTCCCCGTAACACATCTAATGGGTGAAAATATAATACAACAGGGCGATGAGGGTGATAATTTCTATGTCATAGATCAGGGTGAAGTTGAGGTAAGTTTTTAGAATTACTTTTCAAAAATAAGAAAACCTTTTAATATTATTCTTTTTCTTCTCAGGTATTTGTCAATTCCGAAATGGTAACTACCATTGGTGAGGGTGGCAGTTTTGGTGAATTGGCTTTGATTTATGGTACCCCAAGAGCTGCTACAGTACGTGCCAAAACCGATGTTAAATTATGGGGTATTGATCGTGACTCATATCGTCGAATTTTGATGGGTTCCACTATTAGAAAACGTAAAATGTATGAGGAATTCTTATCGCGTGTTTCTATATTGGGTAAGTTGTTGAATTGCGACTTTTCATGTTAAATTTTAACTTCTTCATTATTACAGAGAGTCTGGACAAATGGGAACGTTTGACGGTGGCTGACGCTTTGGAACTTGTTAATTTCGAAGACGGCGAAACAATTGTTAAACAGGGAGAACCTGGTGATGATTTCTATATCATTGTTGAAGGCTGTGCTGTTGTTTTACAAAGACGTGCTGAGGTTTGTTAAAATTAATTGTAGATAATTTGTATTTTTAGAGAGTTTATTATAATAAAAAATAGAATAAATTCTCCTAGAATTGATTTAAAATTTAGAATTTTCTTTAAATTATTATAAAAAATTCTTTTATTAAACATTTTAGCAAGGCGATGAACCTGCCGAAGTTGGCCGTTTAGGCACCAGTGACTACTTCGGTGAAATTGCATTGTTGCTAGATCGTCCACGTGCTGCTACAGTTGTTGCCAGAGGTCCCTTGAAATGTGTGAAGTTGGATAGAGCGAGGTGAGTATATTTAGTTAAGTTCTAGTTTAGTTCTAGCTCAGTTCTAGTTCAGTTGTAGTTCAGTTCTAGTTCAGTTCTAGTTCAGTTCTAGTTCAGTTCTAGTTCAGTTCTAGTTCAGTTCTAGTTCAGTTCTAGTTCAGTTCTAGTTCAGTTCTAGTTCAGTTCTAGTTCAGTTCTAGTTCAGTTCTAGTTCAGTTCTAGTTCAGTTCTAGTTCAGTTCAGTTCTAGTTCAGTTCTAGTTCAGTTCTAGTTCAGTTCTAGTTTAGTTCTAGTTCAGTTCTAGTTCAGTTCTAGTTCAGTTCTAGTTCAGTTCTACTTCAGTTCTAGTTCAGTTCTAGTTTAGTTCTAGTTCAGTTCTAGTTAAGTTCTAGTTAAGTTCTAGTTAAGTTCTAGTTAAGTCTAGTTCAGTTCTAGTTCAGTTCTAGTTCAGTTCTAGTTCAGTTCTAGTTTAGTTCTAGTTCAGTTCTAGTCAGTTCTAGTTCAGTTCTAGTTCAGTTCTAGTTCAGTTCTAGTTCAGTTCTAGTTCAGTTCTAGTTCAGTTCTAGTTCAGTTCTAGTTCGTAGTTCTTAGTTCAGTTCTAGTTTCACGTTCTAGTTCAGTTTCTAGTTTCATGTTCTAAGTTCTAAGTTCTAGTTACGTTTTCTAGTAGTTCATTCTTAGTTTCAGTTCTCAGTTCCAGTTCTAGTTCAGTTTCTCGTTCCGTTCTAGTTCAGTTTCTAGTTCAGTTCTAGTTTACTTTCTAGTTCAGTCTAGTTCAGTTCTAGTTCAGTTCTAGTTCAGTTCTAGTTCAGTTCTAGTTCAAGTTCTAGTTCAGTTTCTAGCTTCAGTTAGTTCAGTTCTAGTTTCCGTTTCTAGTTTCAGTTTCTAGTTCAGTTCTAGTTCAGTTCTAGTTCAGTTCTAGTTCAGGTTCTAGTTCAGTTCTAGTTCAGTTTCTAAGTTCAGTTCTAGTTATCAGTTCTAGTTTCCGGTTCTAGTTCAGTTCTAGTTCAGTTCTAGAGTTTCAGTTCTAGTTCAGTTCTAGTTCAGTTTCTAGTTGGCAGTTCTAGTTCAGTTCTAGTTCAGTTTTCTAGTTCAGTTCTAGTTCAGTTCTAGTTCAGTTCTAGTTCAGTTCTAGTTCAGTTCTAGTTCAGTTCTAGTTCAGTTCTAGTTCAGTTCTGTCTAGTTCTAGTTCTCGTTCTAGTTCCAGTTCTAGTTCCGTTTCTAGTTCAGTTCTAGTTCAGTTCTAGTTCAGTTCTAGTTCAATTCTAGTTCGGTTCTAGTTTAATTCTATTTCAGTTCTGTTTCAGTTTTACAAAGTCAGCAGTTTCTTTTTTACAAACTTCGAATAAATTTTCTAATAACAATTTTCTATATTCTTTCCCAGATTTGAACGTGTTTTGGGACCCTGTGCGGATATTTTGAAACGCAACATCACTCAATACAACAGTTTTGTTTCATTGTCTGTTTAAATCCAGACATTTGGAGAAAAACTCTAACACAAAGAAAAAACATTAAGAAAAACACAAATTATTATAATTTTCTTTTTTTGTAATTTTATGGAATAACTTTTAAAAGTTTTGAATAAAACAAGCGAAATTTATTTGTAAAATGAAAAGAAAACAAATTAAGAAAACAACTTTGTAAAATACACTGCTAAAAATGAAACATTTATCTTGAATGAAGAAAACTTTAAGAAAACCAAATTTTGAATTATAATTGAAATCTAATACATTACACATCTATCTCTGTCAAATATAACAACAAAGAAGGAACAACAACTACTTTAAACTTAGAGATAAACAAACAATCCAAATGAAAAAGGAAACATATTTTCAAACAAGACTCTATAGAAAAAATAACAACAAAAAAAAACATAAATGTTTATACAGAAATATAAAAACAAATGAAGAAATTAATTAAAAAAAAACTTATAAAATAACAACTTTTTCATACAATTATAAAACAAATATAAATATAATTTTAAACAAAACTAATTAAAAAAAAAAAATATATTTCATTGTTTGATGTAAAGCTGTAACAACTATACAACAATACAAATTAAAAACTACAATAAATTGTAAGAAAATAAAAAGAACTGTTGTTAAAACTGGAAAAATGTAAACATTTTGTAAGAAATTGATTGATTGAAAGTTTAAAAATATTTTGAACCAACCTCCCAAACCAACACTAAACTAAATAGAAAACAAACTTAATAATATTGAAGAAAATGTTTTGTAACAGATACCACAACTACAACATAGACTTTCTCTAATTAAAAGATTATTCTGTTTGAAAAATAACAAGAACTTCATTTAATAACATACAATTTAAAATAACAATTGTTTTATTTTATTTATATGGTTTTTTTCTTTATAAAAAAACATTTAATAAATCAAGACAGGATTTGTATGACTTTAGAGAAGGTTTATTAAGTAAATTTAATTTCTTATATTTATATTAATTATTATTTTATTTCTTTTCTTTTTGTTATTTATAAACTTTTCTTTTTTAATTTTTTTTGTTAATTAGAATATATTTTTGTTGTATCATAAACATAATTATTCTATTAAATTATTTTATTTTGAAAAAAAAAAAGAAATCTTAGTTAATTTAAATAAACAATTTGAAAAAGTTAGCTTAAATTTTGCTGGCAACTTATACATAAATAAATATAAAAAAAAATTACAAACCTACATAATTATATAATAAATAATTGAATTTTTTTCCTATAAAATATTATTGAAATTAATAAAAATTCAATTTTGAATTAGTTTTTCTTTTCATCTAATGGTTATTGAGGTTTGAATTATAATACACTTTATAATTGTGAAGAACATAGTTATAAATTAACAATTTTAAATAGACAATTTTGAAACATATTTTAGATTACTATGTTAAATCATTTGAGAAGTAAAAGGTTGTGTAGTAGGGCTAGTCTAGCTTTCTACACATTTTTTACTCGTATTCACAGGTTAGAAATCTAACCCTGTATTATTGGCATTTTGGTCATTACATTTTAATCTACTTTAACCTACTAATCGTAACCCACAGATTTGATCATTGCACATTAAAAAACATATTCTAGACCCTATTTTACTATAATCAGTTCTAGTTTAGTTAGTTCTCATTCAGTCAAGTTCAGTTCTAGTTCAGTTCAGTTCAGTCTAGTTCAGTTCTAGTTCAGTTCTAGTTCAGTTCAGTTCTAGTTCAGTTCTAGTTCAGTTCTAGTTCGTTAGTTCAGTTCTAGTTCAGTTCTAGTTCAGTCTAGTTCAGTTAGTTCAGTTCTAGTTCAGTTCTAGTTCAGTTCTAGTTCAGTTCTAGTTCAGTTCTAGTTCAGTTCTAGTTCAGTTCTAGTTCAGTTCTAGTTCAGTTCTAGTTCAGTTCTAGTTCAGTTCTAGTTCAGTTCTAGTTCAGTCTAGTTCAGTTCTAGTCAGTTCTAGTTCAGTTCTAGTTCAGTTCTAGTTCAGTTCTAGTTCAGTTCTAGTTCAGTTCTAGTTCAGTTCTAGTTCAGTTCTAGTTCAGTTCTAGTTCAGTTCTAGTTCAGTTCTAGTTCAGTTCTAGTTCAGTTCTAGTTCAGTTCTAGTTCAGTTCTAGTTCAGTTCTAGTTCAGTTCTAGTTCAGTTTCCAGTTCAGTTCTAGTTCAGTTCTAGTTCAGTTCTAATTCAGTTCTAGTTCAGTTCTAATTCAGTTCTAGTTCAGTTCTAGTTCAGTTCTAGTTCAGTTCTAGTTCAGTTCTAATTCAGTTCTAGTTCAGTTCTAATTCAGTTCTAGTTCAGTTCTAGTTCAGTTCTAGTTCAGTTCTAGTTCAGTTCTAGTTCAGTTCTAGTTCAGTTCTAGTTCAGTTCTAGTTCAGTTCTAGTTCAGTTCTAGTTCAGTTCTAGTTCAGTCTAGTTCAGTTCTAGTTCAGTTCTAGTTCAGTTCTAGTTCAGTTCTAGTTCAGTCTAGTTCAGTTCTAGTTCAGTTCTAGTTCAGTTCTAGTTCAGTTCTAGTTCAGTTCAGTTCTAGTTCAGTTCTAGTTCAGTTCTAGTTCAGTTCTAGTTCAGTTCTAGTTCAGTTCTAGTTCAGTTCTAGTTCAGTTCTAGTTCAGTTCTAGTTCAGTTCTAGTTCAGTTCAGTTCAGTTCTAGTTCAGTTCTAGTTCAGTTCTAGTTCAGTTCTAGTTCAGTTCTAGTTCAGTTCTAGTTCAGTTCTAGTTCAGTTCTAGTTCAGTTCTAGTTCAGTTCTAGTTCAGTTCTAGTTCAGTTCTAGTTCAGTTCTAGTTCAGTTCTAGTTCAGTTTAGTTCTAGTTCAGTTCTAGTTTAGTTCTAGTTCAGTTCTAGTTCAGTTCTAGTTCAGTTCTAGTTAGTTCTAGTTCAGTTCTAGTTCAGTTCAGTTCTAGTTCAGTTCTAGTTCAGTTCTAGTTCAGTTCTAGTTCAGTTCTAGTTCAGTTCTAGTTCAGTTCTAGTTCAGTTCTAGTTCAGTTCTAGTTCAGTTCTAGTTCAGTTCTAGTTCAGTTCTAGTTCAGTTCTAGTTCAGATCTAGTTCAGTTCTAGTTCAGTTCTAGTTCAGTTCTAGTTTAGTTCTAGTTCAGTTCTAGTTCAGATCTAGTTCATCTAGTTCAGTTCTAGTTCAGTTCTAGTTCAGTTCTAGTTCAGTTCTAGTTCAGTTCTAGTTCAGTTCTAGTTCAGTTCTAGTTCAGTTCTAGTTCAGTCTAGTTAGTTCTAGTTCTTCAGTTCTAGTTCAGTAGTTCAGTTCTAGTTCAGTTCTAGTTCTAGTTCAGTAGTTCCAGTTCTCGTCAGTTCTAGTTCAGGTTCTAGTTCAGTTTCTGTTCAGTTCTAGTTCCGTTCTAGTTCAATTCTAGTTTCATTTCTAGTTCAGTTCTAGTTCTTCCAGTTCTAGTTCAATTCTAGTTCAGTTCTATTCAATTCTAGTTCCGTTCTAGTTACAGTTTTCTAGTTCAGATCTAGTTCAGATCTAGTTCAGTTCTAGTTCAGTTCTAGTTCAGTTCTAGATTCAGGTTCTAGTTCATTCTAGTTCCAGTTCTAGTTCAGATCTAGTTCAGATCTAGTTCAGTTTCTAGTTCCAGTTCTAGTTTCGTTCTAGTTCAGTTCTAGTTCAGATCTAGTTTCAGATCTAGTTCAGTTCTAGTTCCGTTCTAGTTCAGTTCTAGTTCAGTTCTATTTCAGTCTCGTTCCGTTCTAGTTCAGTTCTAGTTCAGTTCTAGTTCAGTTCTAGTTTCAATTTCTAGTTTTCAGTTCTATTTCAATTCTAGTTCAGTTCTAGTTCAGTCTAGCACAGTTTTAGTTCCGTATAGCTAGTTCTGGTTCAGCCCTAGTTCATTCTAGTTTAGTCAAAGTTCAGTATTAGTTCAATTGTAGTTCTGCACTTGTTCTATTCTAATTCTGATCTAGTTCTGTTCTACTTTAGTTCAGTTATAGTTGTGTTCTGGTTGCATTATTGTTCTATTCTAGTTTATTCAGTTCTGTTTCTGTTCCAATTGTGTTCTAGGTCATTTTTAGTTCTTTTCCAGTTCAGCTCTAATTGTTTTCAAGTTTTCACTGGTCCCCTTATATGTATAATATAGTGCTGTTCTGTTTTAAGTCTGTTCTATATCTAGTTTAACACTGAGTTCAAAAGGAAAATCAAAAATGTTTTTTTTTCACAATTTTCTATAAGAGTGTATTATAATAAAAAAAAAATATATATAAAATCCTAATTTATTATCCTTTAAGTTTTTAAACTTTAAAACAATACATCCTTACAGTGCTGGCGCCTTCAACTTTATAATAAAAATATATATATTTATATAACCTATTATATAAACTAAATATTAAAATACATAAAATATTTTACTAAAAACTCATTACAAATACATATTTCAACCAAAAATCATGAAAATATATTTCATCATTAACAACTAACAGCAAGAGTAAACGAAAAATACATAAAAAATATATTTATGAGTATTTTATTTACCCGCCGGCGGGTTCCCTGCACATAAAACGAGATATAGAAATCAATATTAAATAAAAACTATAAGAACATTTATTCAAGTCCAAAAGCTATGCATAAATACCGGCTAGTAGTAAAATTATTTAAATTTTGAGAAACAATTTTTTTTTGGAAAATGATAATATTTGAGAAAATTTAAACACAAATATTTGGTTAAAAAGCAGGACTGAATATTTTCCGAAATTTGTAAATGTAACTAGTGATAGTATTACTTAAGTTTAGAGGGGTTTTCTAAAAGTAATTTGTTTTTTAATTGTTAAATTAAACTGAAGAAGTCAAATCTTTCAGATCTGAAGATTTGAAAATTCCCCTATTTAAAAACCTCCTAAACTTATGCTACTATTTCTAGATGAAATTTCTTTTTAGCCAAATGTTTGTGTGAAGTTTTCTTAATATTTTTCACAGATTATTTATCTAAATTGTTTCTTTGTTTAAAAATATTTATATATTCGATAATAAACATTAATTTGTTTAATTATATCTTAAATTTGTTTAAATAAATTATTTTTATTTCCTTTTTTTAAATAGTTTAATTTTATATTTAGTAATCATTTTGAATAGTTAATGGATTTAACTTAATAAAGAGAGGAGCAAGGCGAGACACACATTTTATAAAACAAGATATTGGTTTAAGTCGGGAATTATCCTAATTTTTCAATTTGTAGAACTCAGCAATTACTTGACTATAAATGGATTTCTAAACCATTTTCAAATAATAGTTAAACAATTGCTAATGAATTCGAAATTGAGACAGTTATACAACTGGTAAGAGATATCGAAAACTTCTAAGAAAATCTTGAACAATTAGTTCCCGCTTAACCATTACCCAATGCTATAGAAATGTCTTAAAATTATGTATTTTCATTTAGCAATTAATATCCTTTCTTAAAACCCCCAAAACAACTGAAAAATTTGTTAAAGAAATAATAAAAACATCAGCAAAAGTCTAAACAATTAATTAATTAATTGATATAATGAAATATTACATTAACAACATAAGTGTATTTTATTTTAAACAAAATATATAAATGTCTGTTTAATTGGAATTTCACAAAAAAAAAAAAAAAAAAAACGTAACAAAATTGTAATAAATCAAAATTAAAGAAAACAAAACAAAGAATTTGTATGAAAAATTAACAAAAAAATATATCACAAAGAAAAAACCAAACAATGCTTTGCTAAAGAAAAGATGTCTGATTTGATAAGAAAGAAATTATAATGAAATAAAGGCTTGGATTAAGTATAAAAAAACTGATAACAAGAAATTAATAAAATGAAAAAGTGGTTTTATTTAAGGATAGTGGGGGATGAAACATAGACAACTATATAGGCAAGATTTTAGACGACTTTACAATCAAGACTTTAAACGACTCTACAGTCAAGACTGTAGACAATTTTATAGTCAATACTATTTATAGATAACTCTATTGTCAAGACTATAGACGACTATATAGTAAGTCTATAGACGACTCTATCAAGACTATAAACGACTTTATAGTCAAGACTATAAAGGACTCTATAGTCAAGACTATAGACTACTCTATAGTCAAGACTATAGACTACTCTATAGTCCACACTATACCCTACTCTATAGACAGGACTATAGACTACTCTATAGTCAAGACTATAGACTACTCTATAGTCAAGACTATGGACTACTCTATAGTCAAGACTATAGACTACTCTATAGTCAAGACTATGGACTACTCTATAGTCAAGACCATAGACTACTCTATAGTCAAGACTATAGACTACTCTATAGTCAAGACTATAGACTACTCTATTGTCAAGACTATAGGCTACTCTATAGTCAAGACTATAGAATACTCTGTAGTCAAGACTATAGACTACTCTATAGTCAAAACTATAGACTGCTCTATAGTCAAGACTATAGACTACTCTATAGTCAAGACTATAGACTACTCTATAGTCAATACTATAGACTACTCTATAGTCAAGACTATAGACTACTCTATAGTCAAGACTATAGACTACTCTATAGTCAAGACTATAGACTACTCTAAAGTCAAGACTATAGACTACTCTATAGTCAAGACTATAGACTACTCTATAGTCAAGACTATAGACTACTCTATAGTCAAGACTATAGACTGCTCTATAGTCAAAACTATAGGCTACTCTATAGTCAAGACTATAGGCTACTCTATAGTCAAGACTATAGGCTACTCTATAGTTAAGACTATAGACTACTCTATAGTCAAGACTATAGACTGCTCTATAGTCAAAACTATAGGCTACTCTATAGTCAAGACTATAGGCTACTCTATAGTTAAGACTATAGACTACTCTATAGTCAAGACTATAGACTACTCCATAGTCAAGACTATAGACTACTCTATAGTCAAGACTATAGACTACTCTATAGTCAAGACTATAGACTGCTCTATAGTCAAAACTATAGGCTACTTTATAGTCAAGACTATAGGCTACTCTATAGTTAAGACTATAGACTACTCTATAGTCAAGACTATAGACTACTCCATAGTCAAGACTATAGACTACTCTATAGTCAAGACTATAGACTACTCTATAGTCAAGATTATGAACTATAAACAAATCTTGACTATAGAGAAGTCTATAGTCAAGACTGTAGAAGACTCTATAGTCAAGACTATAGATGGCACTATAGCCAAGGCTATTGACGACTTTATAGTCAAGATCATAGACAATTTTATAGTTAAGTCTATAAACGACTATTTAGTCAAGGTTATAGGCAACTTTATAGGCAAGACTATAGAAAAATCTATAGTCACTGCAATAGACAACTATATAGTCACGGCAATAGACAACTGTATAGTCAAGACTATAGATTACTCTATAGTCAAGACTATAGATTACTCTATAGTCAAGACTATAGATTACTCTATAGTCAAGACTATAGATTACTCTATAGTCAAGACTATAGATTACTCTATAGTCAAGACTATAGATTACTCTATAGTCAAGACTATAGACTGCTATATGGTCAAGACGATAGATGACTATATAGACAAGACTTTAGATTACTCTATAGTCAAGACTTTAGACCACTCTATAGTCAAGACTATAGACCACTATATACTCAACACTATAGACAACTCTATATTCAACACTATAGACTACTCTATAGTCAAGACTTTAGACGACTCTATAGTCAAGACTATAGACGACTCTATAGACAAGACTATAGACGACTCTATAGACAAGACTATAGACGACTCTATAGACGACTATATAGTCAAGACTATAGAGGACTCTATAGTCAATACTGTAGACTTCTTTATAGTCTAGACTATGGACAACTCTATAGTTAAGACTATAGATCACTTCATAGTCAAGACTAAAGCAGTTTTTCCGCACCCCATTTAAACAAATGTAACAAAAAATACACATGATAAGATTTCACAGAGAGAGAGAGAGAAAGAGAGCGTAACAGGTTGTTTCTGCGCCCAAGAGTAAAAATTTCGAATCGAAAAAGATAACAACGTGAATAAGTAACATGGAGGCAAATCAAACGTATACGATACCGGCAGATTTTTATGTTCAGTTGCAATTGAGAGTTACTAAACACAACAACGTTTGAGCGGTTTTAATTAAATTTAATTTATCGAATTGAATTCAAGGCAAATACAAATAATAAAACTTGTGTTAATAGTCTACAAACAATTCTATTACTTTTTATACGTTACGCTTTTTATATTATATTCTTCTTGTTGCTTTGAAATTTTAATTAAAAGTTATTGACAACAAAAAATTTAGAAAAATAATAATAATTTAATAAAAACCGGATAAAATAAATCATAATAAAAAAACCAAATATTTTGAAAATAACGAAAACAAAGATAAGAAACCTGTAAATTAAGAAAAGAAAGAAAAACACACCAGCAACAAAATGTTTAATACTTTGGTTTACATACCCACCATCTTGGCCTACACTTTTATCACCCTACTGGTCGTCATCTTGGGCTTTATAGTCATCTATGTGTCTCATAAAATCTACACCACTGTCTATGATAATCTGCCTGTAGCTCAACTGGCCTCAAAATCCTCTTTGTCACATGAAAGTGATATAATGACAGATTCCCACACCATGCTGACCCAGGTCAATAAAACGGATGGATTACAGTGTCGTAAATCGAAAACAGGTTAAGTTTATTTTGGGGCATTTTGCAGCATAATAATTTACATATAAGACTATAATATATTAGTATTAATATTAATTATTTAAGTTATATACAATTTTTTATTTAAAATTATTGTATATGTATTGTATATATATATAGCTTTACGTATTATTGTTACCCTGGAGCCGTGTTATTTGGCCTATATGGTGTTTGAATCAAAATTACTTTATAATCCCAACAATCATTTCGCATCAAGACTTTATCAATATTCCCGTAGTAGCAATACTTCTCAAGTTTCTCAAACAATCACTGGCCACTATGATCATTATTTGATCAAATATTTTGATAGTCTTTCGTCTCTACCAACTTTAAGAGATTTACAAAAATGTGATAATTTTAAATTTAATAAAATTTGTATAAGACGTCGTAGTAGTAGGCGCATATAATATATACGTTGTTGTTTTTTGCAAACAAATTAATGCAATTTAAAAATAAAATGTAACATTTTAAATTGTTTTTTTTTTAAGAAAAATAATAAAAAAAAACTAAAAGAAACAAAATGTTTTCTAAAAATATATCATTGATTTCCAAAGTGTATTCAACTTAAAATGCGTGACTGCATTTTGTTTTTTTTTTTTATAAATATGCATGTATTTTTTATGGGATTTTAAAATTGCACTTTGATATTAAAAATTACAGGTAGACCTCATTAAATGGTTGAATGAATATCGTGATTAGTAAAAAATAAAAATTATTTTTCCATTTGAAATCCGGATCTGAAGAGACTTGTAAAACTCCCTAGTATGCGTCAAGGAATTTCAATGTTTTTGTTGAAAAGAATCAGTCAACACTATAGATAACTCTATATTCAAAATTATAGATGACTATATAGTCATGACTATAGACAACTTTATATTGAAGACTCTATAGTCAATCCTACAAACGACTATAATCAAAACAAGTCTATAAACGAATCTTTATTAAGGACTACAAACAAGTATAATGTGGACTCTACACTCGAGTTAAGAAACTACTATAGAGTCAAGATTATAAATGACTCTTTAGTCAAGACTATAATCGAGAATATCATCAAGAATATAAACGATTCTACAGTCGAAACTTTATAGACAAGGCCACAAACGTTTTTATAGTGAATACTTTAGATCACTTTAAAGTCATGTCTACAAATGGCTATCGATAACGACTCTATATTAGAGACTATAGACGACTTTTAAGTCAAGATTTAAAACTACTCTAAAATCAAAACTTTATGGAAACTATAGTCAAGTCAGGTTCCTATAATCAAGACCATTCGATTCTATAGTAAAAACTATATAATCAAAATTATGTACGACTCTATAGTCAATACTATGGTCGACTCTACAGTCAAGACTATAGACGGCTCTATACTCAAGTATAGACGACTCTGTAGTCAAGACCTTAGACGACTCTATAGAAAACTCAAAAGACTATAAACCACTCTATGGTGAAGGTTATAAACGGCTTTACAGTCAGAATTATGAACGACTCTTTCACCAAGGTTATAGACGACTCTTTAGTGAAAACTATATACAGCTATATAGTCAATCCTATATACGACACTTTAGTGAATAATAGACTATGGAAGTCTCTTTAGTGAAAACTATATACAGCTATATAGTTAATTCTATATACGACACTTTAGTGAATAATAGACTATGGAAGTCTCTTTAGTCAAGACTATAGACGACTAGGGTCAAGACTGTATTCATATATAAAATACATCAAAAAAGTCTCAGAAACTTTTAAATTTTGCAAGTTCTGGAACAGGCCTTTGTTTATGATTCTTTTGTCTATTTGTCTGTGATTTCTATTTATAAAATCGTTTTACTTTTCAAATTAATCAATTACCATTAAATATCCATTCACAATAACATCTATTATTGACGTTATGTTTAAATTGTCAGTTTAAAGTACAATAAAAGCAAGCTTGATTTTAATTCAAGCTATTTTCATATTTAAAGACAATTAGGAGGTATATATTTTTAATTAGAATCATTTATATTGATTGTAATTAAAAATAAATTATTGACCTATGTGTGCGCTGAACTGTTTACACAAAAAACAATGTATTTCATTTTTACAAAAAACAAAGATTTCTTTATTAAATTTAAACAAAAACTGTGTGTATATAAAGGTTTACCTGTTTTTTTTTGTTAAACAAAAACAATATTTGCATAAATTAAATGCAACAACCTGTATACACATTTTATTAATTTCAATTTATAAATAAAATGATCATGCAGACAATTTAACAACAATAACAAATGGAAACCAAGAAGTATTTATAAAAGTTGTGTTTACTATTTACAAAAAAATTTTGAAATGTATTTCCAAAGTTGTACTTTTAACATTTTATAAAATTTTTTTATAATTGAAAACTTTTGATCTTTCTATGTAAATAAGAAATGTTAGCAGATACATATGTACGTAGAAATTTTCAAGATCATTCAATTGTTACTTTATAACCTACGAGTTAAATGTGAGTTAGGTTTTTTATTTGTTATTTTAAATTAGCAAGCAGTATCCCAGCAAACATGGGAAATTGATTTCAAATTTATTTACATTAGTCTTTAGTCTGCACTACGGACTAACCAATTGTTAGGACCATAGACTATTTAATACTCAAGAGTTTAGTGTCGAAACTATAACGAGACTATAGAGTAGTCCAGACCATGGACCACTTTATAGTTCAGATTAGGTTATCCAGACTATAGACTATTCTATAGTCCAGACTATTGACTATTCTATACTCCAAACAATAGACTATTCTATATTCCAGACTATAGACTATTCAATAGTCCAAACTATAGACTATTATATAGTCCAAACTATAGACTATTACATAGTCCAGACTATAGACTATTCTATAGTCCATACTATAGACTATTCAATAGTCCAAACTATAGACTATTCCATAATCCAGACTATAGACTATTCTATAGTCCAGACTATAGACTATTCTATAGTCCAGACTATAGACTATTCTATAGTCCAGACTATAGACTATTCTATAGTCCATACTATAGACTATTCTATAGTCCATACTATAGACTACTCTATTCTATAGTCCAGACTATAGACTATTCTATAGTTCAGACTATAGACTATTCAAAAGTCCAGACTATAGACTATTCTAAAGTCCAGACTATAGCCTATTCTATAGTCCAGACTATAGACTATTCAGAAGTCCAAACTATAGACTATTCTAAAGTCCAGACTATAGAGAATTCTATATTCTACACTATAGACTATTCTATAGTCCAGACTATAGACTCTTCTATAGTCCAGACTATAGACTCTTCTATAGTCCAGGCTATAGACTATTCTGTAGTCCAGGCTATAGGCTATTCTGTAGTCCAGATTATAGTTTGTTCAATAGTCCAGACTATAGTCCAAACTGTAGACTATTCTATAATCAAGACTATAGACTATTCTATAGTCAAGACTATAGACTATACTATAGTCCAGACTATAGACTATTCTATAGTCAAGATTTTAGACTATTCTAAAGTCCAGACTATAGACTATTCTATAGTCCAGACTATAGACTATTCTATAGTCCAGACTATAGACTATTCTATAGTCCAGACTATAGGCTATTCTATACTCCAGACTATAGATTATTCTATAGTCCAGACTATAGATTATTCTATAGTCCAGACTATAGACTATTCTATAGCCCAGACTATAGACTACTCTATAGTCCAGATTATATACTATTCTGTAGTCCAGATTATAAACTATTCTGTAGTCCCCATTAAAAGCTATTCTAGAGTCTATACTATAAACTATTCTATAGCCCAGATTATAGACTATTCTGTAGCCCAGACTATAGATTATTCTATATTCCAGACAATAGACTATTCTATAGTCCAGACAATAGACTATTCTATAGTCCAGACAATAGACTATTCTATAGTCCAGACTATAGACTATTCTATAGCCCAGACTATAGACTATTCTATAGTCCAGATTATATACTATTCTGTAATCCAGATTATAAACTATTCTGTAGTCCCCATTATAAACTATTCTAGAGTCTATACTATAAACTATTCTATAGCCCAGATTATAGACTATTCTGTAGCCCAGACTATAGACTATTCTATAGACCAGACTATAGACTATTTTATAATCCGGACTATATGCTATTCTATAGTCCAGACTATAGACTATTCTATAATATAACCGAGATCAGAAAAACTTTTATTATTATGTTTGTTGGGTTATAATAAAATAAATGTTCATGTAGATGTTTGAGGACCGAAAAATATCATTTTATTCTGCTAGTTTAAATATTTTATTTCTTTATAATTTACTTGCAAAATTTGTAAATCTCTTAAAAGTGTTGCGGCAGACATTTTTCTAAAATTGAGAATCAAATCATATCTAGTCATTAAATATTTTTAAGTATTTTTTTTTATAAATACAATTGACATACTTTAATGCAGTAATATCTTTATTAATGTAGTTAGTAAACAGTGGTGCAATTGGTTAAATTATTGCAAATATTAATATTTGTATTATTTGTAAACAATGGTAGAAGAAGTATTTCTAAGATTATCTAAAGCTGGTTAAACATATCTTAAATGAAGGGCATTAAGAATTTTTATCAAATATTGGCCTTAAAAAGAGTAAATTGTGTTAGCAAAAGTTAATTTTTTGAACTCTAACTTTTCTATTTCACTGTTACAATTAGTATTTGTTTTATAAAATTATATCATTTCACAATTCATTTAGTTACAAAGGTTTAATTATTATTTTGTAAAGTTTCTGTCTGTAATATTGTTTAAGTTTTAAAACGAGCATCATATAATAGCAAATTCAACAAACAGCACATTATAATTAATTGTAACAACTATTTAAAATTGTTAATTATAGTATTTAGTATATAATATATAAATGCAAGCATTTTATAAGAGAAAGATACATATAAATCTGTAATTATTACTGAATGTTTTATCGTTGATTTTATGAATTTTATAAAAATTATACAGATACATATAAATAAAATGAATTTAAAAAATATTTATATACCTTTGTTCTGTTCTTATTTCAATAAATATACATATTATAACCGGTTTAAAATCTGCTTTAAATCAGTTTATATTATGGTTGACAATACGAAATTGCTGTTAATTCGTAATCCATACAGTAAAACTCTTAATTATAGGACAAGGATAAGATCCCAGCAAAAACTTGGTAATGATTTACTCTAAATCAAAAACGTTCTTTTCAGTAGCTACCTACTTCATGTCATGTTTATTACATTAAAGTAATCTAGTAATGACATAAACATATAATCATATATTTAAGAGCTTACTGTGAGCTTATTTTCATTTGATCGTATATTAGAACTCATTTTTATAAAAACCATCTATTACAATACAATAAAATTAATAGTGAGTTCTCCAACAGTGCACTAATAAACTCGACAGTTCGAACCCTACATAAACCAACTTATTTAACTCCTTATTTGTATGCGTGCGTGGTAAGTAATTGCCACCGAAGTCATAAGTAATGAAAATATATCGCTCTTTTCTTACAAGAAAGTCATTTCGAATATTTGATAACATTTTACTATTTCTTTAATATCGTATTTTAAAGATAAAATCTGATGTCAAGATACATTAATCTATAGTTTGGACTACGGACTAATCAATTGTTAAGGCCATAGACTATTTAGTAGTAGAGAGTTTAGAGACAAAACTATTCAATAGTCCAGACTGTATATATCTGTTCTATTCTATAGAACAGACTATAGCCTATTCTAAAGAACAGACTTTAGACTATTCTATAGTCCAGACTATAGACTATTCTATAGTCCAGCCTATAGATTATTGTATTGTCCAGCCTATAGACCATTCCATAGTCCAGCCTATAGACAATTCTATAGTCCAGCCTATAGACTATTCTATAGTCCTGACTATAGACTATTCTATAGTCCTGACTACAGACTATTCTATAGTTCTGACTATAGACTATTCTATAGTCCAGACTATAGACTATTCTATAGTCCAGACTATAGACTATTCTATAGTCCAGACTATAGACTATTCTATAGTCCAGACTTTAGACTGTTCTATAGTCCAGACTTTAAACTTTTCTACAGTTTGGACTATAGAACAGTCTATACTATAGACTATTCTATAGTCCACACTTTAGACTATTCAATAGTACAGACTATTCTATAGTCCAGACTATACACTATTCAATAATACAGACTATAAACTATTCTATAATCCAGACTATGGACTATTCTATAGTCCAGATTATAAACTATTCTATAGTCCAAACTATAGACTATTCTATAGTATGAACTATAGAAGAATCTATTGTGTAGTCCAGATAGTCTATATTCTATAGTCCAGAGTATATGTTAACATGTTTCTAATCTGAATTTAAATAGATTTTTACTTTAGAAATTTATAAGAAAAAATAGATAAAGCTTCAAGAAAATAACTCCCGCCTAGAATAATTTCATTGCTTGTTAAGCCAAAAACACAATTTTGCGATAAAACATCGATAACTACAAATGAAGGTAATTTTCCCAATTCAGATGATGGCATTTGATATCGAATAAAAACTAGAACATTTTAACTTAATTTCGATATGGAAATAGGTTTGCGGTCCTTGATGTATAAAATAAATTTGTATGATTTGGTAACGTTGTACTTACTCATAATGATCTTCCAGTTCGTTTGATCGTAAGTAAATTAAGAGGTCCATAGAGCGAAATAATTATGAAAATTAAGGACATCCATATGATTGGGATCAGTCGCTAGATTTAGTTTAAGGTGAATCTCATATTCTAGTTTATCTATTAAAACCAATTAAAAATCACATGTTTCTAGTTTTAATTTCATAAATACTTAATACATTATCTGTAAAACTGTTATATAGATAGTAAGTCCCATATAAAATTGTTTACAAATAATAAAAACAAAATGGAATGCAATTCTTCAAAATACCACTTAAACGTATAACAAAAAAAATTCTTTGCCAAAAATATTCTATAATCAGTGATTATAATAATTTAAATGGAGTTCAATAGAATATTCACCTAAAAAGAAACAATAACAATTGATAAAAATACGAATGACGTTTAATGATTAAATATGCTGAAGTTATAGCGTGGAAATCATATGATTGACAATATTAAAGTCAAGAAGTAAAACCTGTTATTATTTATGTTAGTTACAAAGTAAGTTAGTTAGCTTGCTATTTATTTAGTTAGGTAGTTAGTTAGTTGGTTAGTTAGTTAGTTAGTTAGTTAGTAAGTTAGTAAGTTAGTTAGTTAATTAGTTAGTTAGTTAGTTAGTTAGTTAGTTAGTTAGTTAGTTAGTTAGTTAGTTAGTTAGTTAGTTAGTTAGTAAGTTAATTAGTTAGTTAGTTAGATAGATAGATAGATAGATAGATAGATAGATAGATAGATAGATAGATAGATAGATAGATAGATAGATAGATAGATAGATAGATAGATAGATAGATAGATAGATAGATAGATAGATAGATAGATAGATAGATAGATAGATAGATAGATAGATAGATAGATAGATAGATAGATAGATAGATAGATAGATAGATAGATAGATAGATAGACAGATAGACAGATAGATAGATAGTTCTTTAGTTAGTAAGTTAGTTAGTTAGTTAGTTAGTCAGTTAGTCAGTTAGTCAGTTAGTTAGTTAGTCAGTTAGTTAGTCAGTTAGTTAGTCAGTTAGTTAGTCATTTAGTTAGTTAGTTAGTTAGTTAGTTAGTTAGTTAGTTAGTTAGTTAGTTAGTTAGTTAGTTAGTTAGTTAGTTAGTTAGTTAGTTAGTTAGTTAGTTAGTTAGTTAGTTAGTTAGTTAGTTAGTTAGTTAGTTAGTTAGTTAGTTAGTTAGTTAGTTAGTTAGTTAGTTAGTTAGTTAGTTAGTTAGTTAGTTAGTTAGTTAGTTAGTTAGTTAGTTAGTTAGTTAGTTAGTTAGTTAGTTAGTTAGTTAGTTAGTTAGTTAGTTAGTTAGTTAGTTAGTTAGTTAGTTAGTTAGTTAGTTAGTTAGTTAGTTAGTTAGTTAGTTAGTTAGTTAGTTAGTTAGTTAGTTAGTTAGTTAGTTAGTTAGTTAGTTAGTTAGTTAGTTAGTTAGTTAGTTAGTTAGTTAGATAGATAGTTCTTTAGTTAGTAAGTTAATTAGTTACATAGTTACTTTGTTAGTTTTTTACTTAGTTAGTTAGTTAATTAGTTAGTTAGTTAGTTAGTTAGTTAGTTAGTTAGTTAGTTAGTTATAGTTAGTTAATTAGTTAGTTAGTCCTCCTTTTGAACCCACGATCGTCGGTCTAGCAGACTATAACGCTAATCACTATCCCTCCGGAGCCACTCTTTTTTGTTTATATTCCTCAAAAAATTTTTTATGATGTAGAAAAAACACTCAAATTTTGAAAATATCTCTTATATTTCAGCAATTTCGAGAAAGCTGGGATCAGTCTAAGGTCCAGAATACAAAACTCTAATGCAGGTGGTAAACTATAAACGCACTTCAATTTAATAATGCACATATTATAACTGAATCATACCTTTAAAAAAAACAATAACAGCCATGGGTTTACAATCAATATATAAAAGTGGCATGATTCTCACTCAGGTTAATGCATTTTATTACCAAATTATTCATTAATAATTATTACCCCAAAAAACAATAAACACCCATAGGTAAGCAATCGTTTAACTGATTAAAAAACAAAAACCAAAATATTATTAAGAAATCGTTAATAAAATCTAATATTTGCCTTTTTTTTGTATTATTATCAACAACCCAACATGAGCCTTTTTTCGGTTTTCTACATTATTGGC